ATTCCGGTTTCATAACACGTACAGGTGAAGTTAACGTGCCGGGCGAGAGGCGTACCCGAGCCGCGCGTATCCTGGCGCCGGGAAGACGGCAAGAACATTATAATTCGGGAGCCATTTGCAGGAAGCGCCCCGAACCAGAAGTCTTACGGTAAGATTTAATATAGATGGTACGCCCGCGCCGCGCCACGCCGTTCCGCCGATATAGCGCGGAATATACAATTATGTTTTCCTTAGGCGTGCATGCCGCGCACCGCGATCCCGTTAGTATTCAAATTTCCTCATTACGAGGATCCGCGATTCCGGACTTTAAGATGAATCTCGCCCGGAAACCGATTCCGCTGATGTTACGAGATGATGCCTTCGTCCACGACTTCTGCCGAATGGCCGGCCGCCGGCGCTCGTCGTTCCGCGGATCATTAAGCGTAATATCGAATCTCACCGCGCTTAATATCGAGCCACTTGTGGAACATACGCGTTTATTTTCTTTGAGATTCTCTCTAGTAATTTATGTTCGTAATAAAATAGAAGAATTGTTCATTTCAAGTAGAAAATCGGAGTTTTTGGAAAATTGCTTTTAGCTGCAGTTTCTTATGAATGAATTTTATGAACAATATATCAGGCCCAATTGCACGTTATTTTGTGCTTTAAGTGAGATTTAAATATATATCTGTTTTCATTTATTTAGGAAGAAAGATAGATACATGTTTAAATCTCGCTTAAAATCAAAATAATGTTGATGTAATCGGGTCTTAATAATTAATATTTTCCTCGATGAAACAAAATTTGCTTGATAATAATTCTCTATTGATAATAATTTCTAATTTATTTTTTAAATTTTAATAAGTCAATGAAACTTTAAATCTTATTTGTTCGAGAAAGTCATACGCGATATGAAATCGTTGCATGTTTCTTAACGCTCGAGGCGGCCGTAAAATGGACGTTGGTCGGGAAACACTACTCGCGAAGTGTCTCACCTCGCTCTCAGCCGTCGGTCTCGACTAAACGACGTATTTAGTATTCACTTCAGCGTGGTGATACTAATAGCAGGCAAATTTCGCCGTGCTGTCGACGTGGTCCACGGCAAGGATGCATGCCACGGCAACCGGTGCAACATATGTCGTACCGAGCGTGAACCTGCATCTCCGGACCCGACTCCAGCGGCTTATTGTCGGCACTACAATCGCAGTGATTATCGAAGTCATATCGAAAAAGTTTACCTTGGTCTCACGATTGCCCCAAGATTTAATTAACATAGCGCGGATATTTCGCGCCAACGTCGGATGAAAAAAACAAGCAAATAAAAAAAGCGATAATATAGTCGCTATTTTCAGATTTTAAATCGCGTTTGTCGAATAAAAAATTGTCACTGTAAATATTTTAATTTGAGTACTCAAATATAATTCAATTATTTTTTAACTGGAACGCGACATCAATCCCAAAATATGTTTGAATCGTTTGAATTTTTCAAGTTGATCTTGAAAGACTGTTCGTAATCCTTCAATTTTGTCTTCTACTCCAAAGTATTAATCTCAGAGAATTAATTTTCGCATGTAAACAAAGAATAAACCAATATAGGATTTCTCAGATATTAGTTTCCATCGGAAAATACAGAATCATATTGTTCATCGAGACTTTATAATATTTCGATTAAGTTGGGAGCGTATCATAGAACGCGCGCAAAACGCGGTATGTTGGTTGCGTAATTAATTTGCGAGGCGGAAAACACATGGATATGTCTCAAGATCTTTAGGAAAATCGATGTTTTTGCGACCTGAACTCTTGCGATGTAGCGTAACAAGGCCGCAGGTGAGGACGGTTCGTGCGTTTGCTTACAATATTCCACAGTAAGGAACAGTTGCAGATGCAACAAATCGCGCTCGTCTTATCCTGCATGCACTACTTCGTTGTTTGCATCCGAATGTCCAAGAATGTATTCAAAATGAATGATATGCGAAAAATGTCATGCAACAAAAATATTTCTATTAACAACAATATTTAAAATCTGGAACTATCGAACGAGTTTTACAAATTAATGGAAATTTTAAAGTCATTTCTGAAAGAGGAAATCATTAAATTTGCAAACGGTGACTAAGCATTCGTGTTAAAAATGTAACATGCAAAATGTAATACGTAAAAATATAACCTGCATTATATGTTCCATAATAAAATATTGGAGAAGCATAATTAGCGCGAATATAATATCATTAAGCGCGTTTGTCGTTTTATTGATTATCGACCGCCGCTTTTGTAATAGGTCATATAATAAGCTTCACGTTCTTTTTCTATTCATCTATATATAGCGATTGCTCTCCGTTAAATAACAATAGCCAGAGACAATTGATTGTCAGTTAATTTTTCCACTAATGATATAAAAATATATTATTAGATTTGCATAATCTCAAAAAATTTAACTTCGATAAAACAAGAAATTTTACGTTTATTATTAATTTCGTGCTAATTATTGTTTCTGTTCAATGAGATTAATTAATTCTAATCAAATGTTTGCCTTTATTAATTAATAAGTAGCTGTTTTGCTTCCTATATCAAGTACGCTTAATTGAATCTTGCTAGCGTAACAATTATTATTCGCTTAAAGATAGAATATATTATTATTATTAAGCTTTTAGTACCTAAATTTAGTATCTAAATTCACGATGATATATCAATCATATTTGGTCCGTAGAAAATAACTAATATGTCTCTATGTTAGATTATTGAAGTGAATTATAAACGTGGAAAATAGTAGTGGATAATTTTAATGATTCATCATTAATGATTTCCATCGGAAAATAGTAGTGGATAATATCATTAATGATTTTCCAAATCTCAATATTTCATTTTGTGTTAAAAAAATGAAGATGCGCGCTAGCTTTGTATATATATATATATACCAAAAGCTCTCGGTCTTACTCGACTTTAACGTTCACCGTTCCCAGTGTCTTCCGTGACCGAATTTCTCGGCGAGGAACTGAAGCTGACGAAGATCTCGAGAAACGAAATGGGGGTTTATCTGTGCATCGCCAGCAACGGGGTTCCGCCCGCGGTCAGCAAACGTATTTATATCAACGTTCATTGTGAGTAATAGTGATTACCGTCCGTCGGATCGGATACCCTGTATCTCGTGTAGAAGCGAATCCGCTATACTAAGACTGGAAATACAACAATATCTTCCGATTTCGATTTACAGTTCCACCAGTGATTCACGTACCCAATCAGCTGGTCGGCGCGCCCTTGGGGACCGACGTGGTCTTGGAATGTTTCGTCGAGGCATCCCCGATGTCGATTAATTACTGGGTCAAGGACCCTAAGGGTGAGATGGCACGTCAGATGACACCTGAGATAATACGTGAGATGACTTTCTCGTTGAAAATAAAACTTTTGCACTATGAGTCATAGTGGAACATTTATAGATCGCACTTTAACACGACTTTACTACGACATTTTAGCATAATATTTTATGTAGTCGTTGTCTTTTCAATTCGTGACGTTTGATATTTTTATTTGGCATTATTTAATTATTGGTTATATTGTTTATTATTTATTTTGCATTGATGATATTTTGCATTGATTAACTTGTAAATAATTACTCACACTGAAATTGATTTCAGATTGGCAACTTATATTTTAAATATACGCCTAATGACAGAAAAATTTGATAGATTATAAATTAATTAATAATTATGATCATTAATTAAATTATTTTTAGAATTATTTTGGGTGCTTAAAGAAATATAAATAAAAAAATTAGATACGTATCGTTATATAATATTAAACGACAAGTTTTTTTTGTATTATGCACATTAGAATCGGTTATCGATTATAAACCTTTTTTTTTATAACTTTTTACAAATAATCATGTAACTTCAAAATCTGTTTTAAGATAAATTTCTTTGTATATATTTTTAACTTTTAATTTTAATTAAGATTTGCATATATTTGTCACTTATGTAAATTAATATAAATTTCATGTTATATCAACGATTTAAATTTTTGTCTTGTTATCTATTAAATAAATCTGTTAATTTTAATAATAACAGTCAATTATTAATGATACAATTCTCACTTCTACGCGAGATGAAATTATAATTTAATGTAATAGAAATAATTTATGGAGT